GGATCTCCCGCATCTCCGTCATTAGTAGAAATTTGCTTGCAATTAGTAGAAAACAAAATATTTAAAAATTATAATAAACAAATCTTTTATTACCGCTAAGTAGACGATATTATTACTTGTATTCCGGAAGAAAACATTAACATATTTACTGATAATTTTAACAATTTTAATAAAAAATACAGTTTACTGTGGAATTAGAGACAATGAATTTGATTAGCTTTCTAGACATCAGACTAATACGTACAAATGACCACCGACTAATTACTAACTGGTACCAGAAACCAACTCCGGACGATACATAAATTGCCACTCATACCACACTCTTAAAATGAAAATAGCAACAATAATAAATTCAACAGACCACGCCATACTACTATCTGACAAAAATTTCTGGGACACGAACAATGACCTGGTAATAAACACACTAAAAACAACTCATATCCTACAAACATAATCAACTCGGTCATAAATAACAGACGCAGTTACATTTTCAACAAACAAAACAACCTCACAGACCATAAAAACCGCTTAGACTTGGAGTCATATACTGGTGTCATTTGCCTACCGTACGTAAAAGATTTATATTTCTCGTGGAAAAAACTATTTCAAAAGTGTGGCATTTTATTGGTGTGTAATTGTGATACAACCCTTAGTTCAATTTATACACAAATTAAATCTAAGTTCAATTTTGACCGCCTCAGAAACTTGGTATATCAGATTAATTGCTCTAATTCCGAACTCTTTTTTATTGGAGAAACTAACCAAAACCTGAGTAAACGCCTTCATCAACATAAAAAAAAAACTCAAAAAATACTAAGCAATTTAAAACGATGTTAACTGAGCATATTAAAAATTTAAATCATAATATCGATTTTTTCAACCCTAAAATTTTACATTTTGAAGAGAATATAATTAAAAGAATATTTGCTGAGGGGTTGTTTTTGCAATTGCATAACGACAGGGTCATAAACAAACGCTTCGACAATACGGCCCTGTACGAAACAAACACGTGGTTTTGTAATAGCGTGTCAAAATTTCTTAAAAAATAACAAAATCCTGTGTTTTTTTAAATTTTCCAAAAAAATTTAACACATGCTAAAAACTGCTTTCAGAAAAATGTGACATTTCTATCTTAAACTCCGAATAGTGAATACATAGTTTCGACAACTTGTTAAGTTAGTATGGTTATTAGTGTGTTTTACCATTTGTGGTGTTAAAAAATATATATCTTATCAATGTGCACATACTTATACCATGGATTAATAATGGTTTCATATGCTATATTAGGATACAAAATTGTAAGTGTTTTATTATTATTATTATTATTATTATTATTGCTTTTCCATGAAATTTTCTATCATATAATTTATTTAGTTTCAATTTTTATAGTTAATTTGATTACCACTGAATGATGGCTAAGATGCTAGCCGAAACGTATGGATTTTAAATAAATAAACTTTTAAAAAAAACTCTCATACTATTTTTATTGATGTTACGCCCGAATATTAAACTCAAATTAAACATATATATCAACATCAAATTCAAGACTATTCACACATATATATATATATATATATATATATATATATATATATATTGTAGAGTTTTGAACAAGAATCCAAAAAGTAATAAAAAACAAGAAAAGTTTTTTAATAAACAATTTATTTATTTACTGTCGACGTTTTGGAACTAGGTACGTTCCATCTTCAGGACATCTGTGATCTTGATGAGATTTAAGCAAACCATATGTTTAAGAAAAGAAAATGCATTTTTCTTGAATAATAAATTAGTTGAAAAAATAATAATATACAGAAATATAATAATATGATCAAAATGAAAATGATAAAAATAAATGAGTGAATTACCTAACAGGATATTAAAAATGATAAAAAATTTTTTTGGAAAGTTATGGAAATTTTTTTAGAAAAGGTTAATGACAAAAATTGAATTAATTACCTGTATGTTTGAATATATGTTAGCACTTTTTCACTAAACAAGATATTAACAAGAAATGAATTTATGAGTAATTTTTTTACAGCCGAATAGGTAAATTTTGTAAATCAAAATTACTATGTGTTTTGTCTTTTTTAAAAAATTATTATTTGAAAAACACAAACAATATTATTCCCTCGATGTTAGGAGGTCGTCGAATGGAAACGAACTAAGTCTGAGTCGTAACAAAAACACGTGTAAAACACTTGAGAACTATGCGATTGTATGTGTGTGTTTTTATATATTAGAATGTGAATACTTAAATTATTGAACTTAAATGGAAGTCGATATTAATTGTTTGTTAAAAAATGTAAAAAATTTAAATAATTTAAGTAATAGGATCTGATCTAATGTTGAAACTATTAGAAACATTCATAAGAATAAGACAACTTTCCGAAAATAATCTCCTAAAGATGCAACTTTCATGATATAAGATCTTTGGAGTAAAATTGAACGAGTGGGCGTTTTCAATAGAGTGTTGTACTAGGGTACTCTTAAAATTTTTTTGTTTATGGTGGACCACACTTAGTTCATGTTGTCTCATTCTTTTGTGTACTTATTGCGAGGTTTGTCCAATATATTGGAATGTACCGTCGTTACAGGAAACAGAGTATACTACGTTAGTATTGAAATTGGATGGGGTAGGGGATTTAATGTTCGTAAAAATTTTTTTGGAGGAGTGTAAGGATGAGCCTGATACTAAAATATTTTCATCTAACAGAATTTTGGCAAAATAATAATATAATTCTTCCACGTAAGGAATGCTGCAGTATCCTCTACCATTTAATATATATATATATATATATATATATATATATATATATATATATGATATTCAGTTTTCAGGGCAATACATCAATTAAAAAATTTGTATGACTTTAAAACATTTTTATTTATTCCATACGTTTCGACACATTGTTTTGTGTCATCTTCAGTGGACTCTAGATTGAAAGAACAGATAGAAATTATTAAATAAAACTAATATATAAGAAGTGATATGGTATGAACTTACATGTAATTGAATTAATCCTAATTATTTCATATTATAAATGTTCACAATGCACAATCCTAATTATTTCGTATTATAGATGTTCACAATGAACAATCCTAATTATTTCATATTATAAATGTTCACAGTGCACTAAAAAACTAATCCTTGTCATTTTAAGTTGAACAATATATAAATTTTTGACTGAGATTTTTATGAATTTGTGAAGTACATCATTACGTACATACATTAAGAATCTCTTTCCTATTTGGAAAAAACTATTTGAATTCGCGGATTTGCGTTTAGTTTGCAATATTGATCAGACTCTCAACTTTTTATTTTCGAACTTAAAATCACCGACAAGTTTAGATCGTATTTCTAACATCGTATATAAAATTGACTGTACAAATTGTGAGGCCACTTATATTGGCGAAACTGGACAACATCTAAAAAAACGTCTTAGACAACATTATAACAATTCCAAAAATAAAAATCAAAATCAAACAATGATAACTGATCACATACAAAATTTCAATCATATTTTCAATTTTGATGTGGCCACAATTTTATATCACGAATCGAATACATCTCAGAGACGCTTTTCAGAATCTTGTCTGATACACCTTTACAAAAATAGTTTAAACAAAAGATTGGATACTTCCTCATTGTGCGAGAATTACCAAGTAGTCTTAAACAATGTCTCGAAATTCATACCTTTAAAATAGTTACCTATCATGATCGACGTTTAATTATATTAATTTTAATGCCAATTTTTCTTTTTCTTTTTCTTTTAATTTTGATCTCAATTTTACTAATTATGTCCACCCTCACAATTGTCATGTTCTTATATTTCACTATATGTACCCTCTCGCGTTGTCAAATCTTAAATTCTTTGGTCAGTTCGTTTGCCTTGTACCTTAGCCCTCAACATGTGGTTCGCACATTGACGTACATTCAGTAGGCACCCGTACATCGGAGCACAGAAATGTACGGCGCGATGTACTTCACAAATTCATAAAAATCTCAGTCAAAAATTTATATATTGTTCAACTTAAAATGACAAGGATTAGTTTTTTAGTGCACTGTGAACATTTATAATATGAAATAATTAGGATTGTTCATTGTGAACATCTATAATACGAAATAATTAGGATTGTGCATTGTGAACATTTATAATATGAAATAATTAGGATTAATTCAATTACATGTAAGTTCATACCATATCACTTCTTATATATTAGTTTTATTTAATAATTTCTATCTGTTCTTTCAATCTAGAGTCCACTGAAGATGACACAAAACAATGTGTCGAAACGTATGGAATAAATAAAAATGTTTTGAAGTCATACAAATTTTTTAATTGATGTATTGCCCTGAAAACTGAATATCACATATTTCAACATCAAAATTATATAAAAAATTTAATATATATATATATATATGGCGGAATGAACAATGTGAATTCAATGGAGATTCACCAGACCTATGGTTTTTAGTAATTCAATATGAGTTTCAGTCTGCTAAGATCAGGAGCGACGATACTAAGTACTCGGCAGTACTTAAAGTCCTAGACTTCGAAACACTGCGCTTCATTCAAGATGTCCTCCGTAATCCTCCAATAACGGGCAAATACGAATATATCAAAAATACTATATTAAGCAGAATGTCTGAATCCAGAGGTAAGCAGATTGACAAGCTATTAAAAAACTTATCTCTAGGAGAGAAGAAACCATCACAGCTCCTACGAGAGATGATGGATTTGGCTAAGGGAGAGGTCAATGAAGATATCATAATTAAATTGTGGTCAGAACGCCTGCCACACCACATTCGGCCACAATTGATAGTTTCTCGTCATTTTGGTCCGAAAGCCCTGGCGGAAGTAGCCGATATTTTGGTCGATCACTGTAGCTCCTCATTCCATGTGATGTCCACAACACACAAGTCTTCAGTGGAACAGAGACTGGACCGCCATTAAATTCTTCTTATGTCATTCGTCCAGGAAATCAAGGAACTAAGGGCAATGTTAAATACTGAAAGGCAGAAAAATGATCAGCAAGAATCACAACACAACCGGTCAAGATCAAGAAGTGGTTCTCGACATAGTTCCAGGACACCTTCTCGTGGATCAGTTTGCTACTATCATTGCACATATGGTGAGAAAGCCACAAAGTGTGAAGAGCCCTGCCTGCTTATATCTTTAAACCGGTCGGAAAACTTATTTCACCGTAATTAATTGGAGCTTGCCATGACGGTGAAATAAATTCTGTCTGCTCTGAGCTCCGCCTACATATTTCAGACAGAAAGACTGCAATCCGATTCTTTATAGGTTCTGGATCAGTTTTATCCATTTTACCAGCCCATAAGTTCGCCAATGGTCATGCCAAAGAAGAGCTAGTTTTATTTGCAGCAAACTCTAGCAGAATTTCCACGTATGGCAAGAGAACTCTGGAGCTGGATCTATCACTAAGAAGAAGCTTTAACAGGCAGTTTGTTGTTGCCGATGTAGTCACAGCCATTATAGGAGCCGATTTCCTAAGCAACTACAATATATTAATATACTTGAAGGGTAGAAGATTGATTGATTCGACCACAGGCCTTACCTCTGATGGAAAGGTACTCAAGGCACAGCAAGTCAACATCTCCACTGTCAACCCGGCAGAGCCTTTCAAGGATTTACTGGCACAATACATTGCAATAACAAAGCCACAGGCAACCACTAATAATAAATCATCTCATTTTGCCCACAGGATAACCACAATAGGTCCACCATTAGCTTCCAGATTCAGGAAGATCTTCGGAGAAAAGGCTGTTGCAGCCAGGTCCGAGATACAAGATCTCCTGAACAGGGGCACTTTGAGGCCTTCCAACAGTCCATGGGCAAGCCCTATTCACATGGTTCCCAAAAAGAATGGCACATTCAGAATGTGTGGAGATTATATATTCAGAATGTGCAGGAAGAAAATGGCGCATGGCACCCTATAGGTTTCTTCTCCAGAAAGCTCACATCCACTGAACAGCGATATTCAACTTATGATCGCGAGGTACCATCTTTGCGGCTTTAAAGTATTTTGAATATATGCTAGAAGGAAGACACTTTGTAATCAAGACTGACCACAAGCCAATCACACATGCCTTTCAACAGAAATTAGAAAAAGCATCAGATCGTCAGCGACGGCAGCTAGAATACATATCACAGTTTTCAACTGACATTATATATGTGAAGGGTGATCAGAACGTGGTTGCTGATGCCTTGTCCAGAATCAATGCCATTCAAATGCCTTTAAAGTTAACCGCAGAGGAAATTTCGCAAGAGCAGAGCAAGGACGTTGAAATGCAAACTATATTGAATGGTAACACCTCCCTGAACCTTCAAAAATTTTCATTAAACAGCTATCCAATTTACTGCAATATTCAAGATAATTTTGTGAAGCCCTGCCGTCCACAAAGTATTCTCAGAACTGCTTTTGTCATACCACATGAAAGTCAACTAAGCACTCCAAAAGAATTTAAACCACATAACTTGGAGTCAACGATGGATCCTCCAAGAAAAATTAATCCTAAAAAAGTCTCCTTCAAATTATAATAATTAAATTTATTTATTTATTACGGATACTTTTTTTTCTTTTGAAGGGGAGTGATATGGCGGAATGAACACGGCTACATGACACATGTCAGTTGATTGACGCCAATAAAATATCATATTTAGTAAGCGATTACTAGCGGATTGTTTTTATACGATCGAAAACTATCGAAAAATTGGATTCGGTTTTTAAATGATCGGTAAATTGTCGGGATCAAAATTGATATTAGATTTTATGTAATATCAGTTCCTTTATTAATTGAGATATCAATAAACACACATTTTCGAGTTTACATCAAGTAAATGCGGTTTCATTTTAAGATTTAATTAATAAACAATATATGGCACATTAATGCCATATATCTTCTATATATATAAAAATAAGTCGGGTTTTCCTTCCTGACGAAATAACTCCAGAACGCACGAACCGATTTCGACAATTTTGCATTCATTGGAAAGGTCTTGGGCTCCGCAAGGTTTATAGCTAAGAAAATTAGAGGTGCATGGCATCGTGCCCTAATGCATATTGCTGGAACTTCACGCACCACAATTAAAAATTCGAGTAATAAAAATAATCAATAATTGTTTAAAATAATTGCAAATACATTATCTTCTATATATATAAAAATAAGTCGGGTTTTCCTTCCTGACGAAATAACTCCAGAACGCACGAACCGATTTCGTCAATTTTGCATTCGTTGGAAAGGTCTCGGGTCTCCGCAAGGTTTATAGCTAAGAAAATTAGTGGTGCATGGCATCGTGCCCTAATGCATATTGCTGGAACTTCACGCACCGCAATTAAAAATTCGAGTAATAAAAATAATCAATGATTGTTTAAAATAATTGCAAATACATTATCTTCTATATATATATAAAAATAAGTCGGGTTTTCCTTCCTGACGAAATAACTCCAGAACGCACGAACCGATTTCGTCAATTTTGCATTCGTTGGAAAGGTCTCGGGTCTCCGCAAGGTTTATAGCTAAGAAAATTAGTGGTGCATGGCATCGTGCCCTAATGCATATTGCTGGAACTTCACGCACCGCAATTAAAAATTCGAGTAATAAAAATAATCAATAATTGTTTTAAATAATTGCAAATAGATTATCTTCTATATATATAAATATAAGTCGGGTTTTCCTTCCTGACAAAATAACTCCAGAACGCACAAACCGATTTCGACAATTTTGCATTCGTTGGAAAGGTCTCGGGCTCCGCAAGGTTTATAGCTAAGAAAATTAGTGGTGCATGGCATCGTGCCCTAATGCAAATTGCTGGAACTTCACGCACCGTAATTAAAAATTCGAGTATTAAAAATAATCAATAATTGTTTTAAATAATTGCAAATAGATTATCTTCTATATATATAAAAATAAGCCGGGTTTTCTTTCCTGATCAAATTTTTCCTTTTCAAATATAAAACAAACAAAAAATTTCTTCATCTTTCTCACGAAACCATCTGGTGGCGAAACGGAGTTTGTCGGGTTTGCTAGTATATATATATATATATATAATATATATATATATATATATATATATATGTTATTTTAAATTAACTAGCAGCCCATTCGTCGAAATAAAAAAGGTATAAAGTATTAAAAACTTTTATTTATACGTTTCGACACAAGATGCGTGTCATCATTCAGCAACTACAACAATTTAAAAATTTTATTAACCAATATGAACACCAATATAGATTAATTATAACATAGAGAAACATTATACACACCACAGAAAAAAAACACTCAAAAAAATTTTTTTATTTTAAAAAAATTAAACTTATAACATGTTAGAAAAAAAAACATTTTTTTGGAAAAAATTATGAATAACTAAAAGATTTGAAAACTAATTTGACTAAAAGTTTTGAAATGTAACATTATGAAGCAAGAAACACGCCCATACCGAGCAAAATACTCGACTGAAATATTTCCCTAGGCGTATTGATAGGAATGGGAGGGGAATGTATCCAAGGACAAATGCACGAAGCACGAATGCATCGTACACGCAGTGGTTGAAATGGATTTGATCAAAAGGAAAATGTAAAACATGTAAAAGTTTGAACAAGAAAAAACAAAATTGTAAAAAATAATATAAAGGAGATAGCAAATTAATTTTTTGTTTTTTTTAATAAAATCAATAATTAGCTGGTAACTATCATGTAAAAGGCGGGATGAATTGCGTTTATTACTAAATTATATATTAAATACTAAAACAATGGAATTGGAGTGAAAAGTAAAAAATAAAAAGAGTAAATAATACTTACGATTAGTTTATCTTAGTGTTAAATTGGAAGATTTTAATAATCCATGGTATCAGGATATGGTAATGCACTACACTATGTATTATAAACATTAAACTTGTAATTACACAATATTTTCACAAAATACTAATTTAAAAAATCATAAATAGATAGTGTGTGATAGTGTGCAATTAAATCAAACTTCGTATGTAAAATAGCATGGAAAAAAATTTGAAAATTAAAACAATTTTTTTTAGGTAGTATAACTGAGTGACAAATGAATTAAAAGTGAAAATTCGTGTCATTTTTATTGAAAATTCGATGCTCTACAAAATTTTTGAAAATTTGTTTATGCTATTTTGATTGAATTGCGCTCTATCTAAAAGACAATATTGAGAGCGAAAACTTTCAGAGAATTGATTTTTATCAATTTGGAACCATTTGAGCCCTTGACAGCAAGGAAATTTAAAAATGTCCATATTAAGGACCACCCTAATATATGTATATATATATATATATATATATATATATATCTTATATATAAAATTCTTCTGTAACAATGTAAGTTTCATAATTCCTCCTAAACTATAATTCGGATTTTCATGAATCTTCCTGAAGTTTGTTTGGGAAATTTTCTAGAATGTTTTGATTCATAGAAATATAGTTAGATTGTAGAAATAAATGGAAAAAATTACAAAAAACCGCTTATCATTGTTTGCCCTTGAAAATATTTGAAGCTTAGTTTTACATTAAAAACAATTGAAGACTGTCATTTGCCAAACATTTCTGTTCACTTATAGGCTAAGGCAATATTTAAATATAATAAATTCATGATTATGATTAAGGAAAATGTAATGTCTACATTATTAATGCCGAAAAGCAGCTAAGATGTGCCAAAAATTAAATTAATATAAGATGCAAATAATATAACAAGGGTCTGACAGTCTGCGCATGCGTCTGACGCGCACGGCAAATCGTGTTCTCTTCAATCGTACGCGTGGATTGCTTTTGCTTGCAATAATTTTGTTTGCGCACTTTGCGAACAGATTCGCCGTACGAATTCGTGCAAAGGAGCGATCCATAAGTGATTGGGCTCAAAAATATTCAATTTGCAGTCGTTTTGCCTTACTATACTAAGTCACAATACAAAAAAAAATATTTAGAAGATTATTGTGTCAAAAATTCATATGTTTATCATTGGGTACGGAATATTTACTCAATGGAGCGCTTTCGGTCTGAACTTTTTTTACTGTTTTCCATTTCGTTTGGAATTTTGGAACTAGGTTCATCTTACTCTTCAGAAGTGAAAACAATTTAGACTTCTTTACCACTTCTCGGGTGGATGACATTTCTTTTCAGTGGTGTAATTTTACTTTTTTCCAATTTTTTTTTTTTTTTTTTAATTTCAATAATTATTACAACTCCGGTTTTTCCAAATAACGTTGGGTATCGATAAAAGAACAAATTATAAGAGAAAAATGTTTAATAATGTTTTTCAAAAAAGCAAATACTTTTCAAGTTACTGGCAACTGAAAATTTGTTTCTTTTTTGCGCTTTTCATCATTTTTTGCTAATATCTTCAAAAAATATACATTTTAACGAAAATCAGGTAATGAACAAAATTATATCAATTAAAATCTTAATAAATCGCTATTTTATAGTGTTTTAGGAAAATTATTAGGCTAGATATGAAAATGGGTTTTTAGAGTGCTCAAAATAAGCTTTAAAATGAGTACTTCTGCGTGTAAAATGAGTAAACTATCATGCAAATAAAAGACGCATATAATGTTTTTTCATTTAACGGGATCTTCCTTTGTGATGAGTTGAAAAAAATGATTTTTTTATTTCATATTTCGGTAGATTATACCTTTAAAAATAACATATTCAAATATCAAATCGATATCTCAAATAGTTTTTGAGTTACAGCCATTTAAAAAGTATACATATAGTATACGAGTATAGTACAACGTATAGTACAACGATCATTTTATCTTTAATCGCGTTTTTCTCAAAACTATGTTTTTCAAACTTGTCTCCATTGTATCTCAGAAACGGCTGAACCGAATTACTTGAAATTTACAGGGCACACTCAATATATTTAAACGCATGGAATGAACTATTATCGATCAAAAATTTCAAAACTTCGATTTTTTATAGCAAAAA